TTTTTTTTTTTTTTTTTTTTTTTAAGGGAAGTTGAAAGTTATTTGTTCAGTTTGAGGGGAGAGGTTTGAAAAGAGTAGATTTAAATAACCACTGTGGAAGATTGGTAAGAGAACTAAACAGGAAAATACAGAAGACATTATTGAGGAATATTTACCCTCTAAAAACTGATTACAGTTCCTGGAATGCATCCTGAAATATATACCTATGTCTGACATGTGTTGTTTCTTCTACTTCTTCTGGGGAGTTCAAAACTAACTCCATCTAGACTTTCCTGACACTCCCCTAACCACTCCCAGTTATCATCCTCCTCTGTATATATTAATGTTTTACTTCGTACACAATTTTACTGCTACCCTTACAACCCTATATTACAGTGCCTGTCTTTATAGCTCTACAAGACTATTTCGCCTACTAAAATGGTGAGCTACTTGAGGGTGGGAATTGCACATATATCAGGAACTCAAAACTTGGTTCAACTTAATTTAAATTAAAATATAGAGATACACTAGACAAAATCTAACCTACAGAATCTAACAAAATCTAGTTCGGAAAACACCACCTTTAGCCCTGGCCAGTGTGGCTCAGTTGGTTGAGCACTGTCCTGTGCACCAAAGGGTCACCAGTTCGATTCCCGGTCAGGGCACATGCCCAGGTTGTGGGTTCAATCCCATTGGGGTGTGGGGCAGAGGCAACCGATCCATGGTTTTTCTCTTACATCAATGTTTCGCTCTCTTTCCCTTACTCTTCCTCTTTCTAAAATCAATAAAAACTTTTAAAAAAAAAAAAAAAAAAAAAGGAAAACACCATTAGTTAAATTTTGACAANGGGTCACCAGTTCGATTCCCGGTCAGGGCACATGCCCAGGTTGTGGGTTCAATCCCATTGGGGTGTGGGGCAGAGGCAACCGATCCATGGTTTTTCTCTTACATCAATGTTTCGCTCTCTTTCCCTTACTCTTCCTCTTTCTAAAATCAATAAAAACTTTTAAAAAAAAAAAAAAAAAAAAAGGAAAACACCATTAGTTAAATTTTGACAAAAGTATATAAATTATAAGAAGACAAGTAATTAAGGGCAATAATAACATATACAACAGTCAGAGAAAACAATTTAAAACTGTCAGATATAAGAAACACCCAAACCTTTAAGAATTTTTATGAGTTTGAGCCAAACTGACAACTGCCAGGAAGCAAAATCTCAAAGGACTGAGAAAATGCTCCAGAGACGACATAAGGGGTTACATGAAATCCACTGGTGGTAGATTAGGGAGGCAGAAGAAAGCAAAGCCAGGAAATCTCTAAGATTGGATTAAGAGTAAAATGAAAATACAAATACTTCTTTTACATTGGTGGGTACAGGAAAGTTAACAACACTTACAGCACATAGAGATGGTATGTGGGAGAACAAGATAACAATGAGGGGTGGTCTGGTGCACTGGTGGGAAATTGTGTCCTGAGGGGTATGGCAAAAGGGAATTACTCTGACACCCCAAAAGTATGTTATTGTAGATGCAAAAAGACAACAGACAGGCTAAGTTAAGATAAAGATCGACCTTTGTAAAGGAACACACCAGCCTAGGACATGACTACCCATCACAATTCTCTTTTAGTTAGGAAGTTTTAATTTCAGACCATCCTATGTGGTAACTTTAGATATCTGAGTTTACAAGGCTTGCCACTCAGGCCTCCCCTAGCTTGTCAGGCTTAGTATATGACCCCTTTTTCATCCACAGAACTTTATTTCATTCATTTATAACCTACTTTGGTATACAAATGTGTACATATGATTCTTACTGTGATGTTCAATTAAAAAACCCTTACTCTGCACATCTACTACATGCAAGGTGATGTTATTAACACTATGAAACATAAAAAGGGGTTTTACAGTGCAGTAGAAAAGATTAAATTATCAAATTATTTTAATACAAGGTAGAATGCGACAATTCGGGAAGAAAATTAAGAGCAGATAAGGGTCTTAGAAATTCGAACTTTATTCTGAAGAGTAAGAGATTTGGGGCATGTTAACTGGAGTAATACAATTTAACGTGCTTCTCAAATGTACTATACTTATCTTCTAATATCTAGCAATTTCTGTCCAAAATTGTCAATAAATTTCACAATTCATATGGTTAATATTCAATTCAATATGGTTAATCCCAGCCTGAACGAATACTCCAAATCCTATCCCATGTATGCTTGTGGATAAACGCCTTTAAAGAAACAAACGAACGGTGCCATCTGTACAGTCCAAGAATTTAACTGAGGGGATGTTCCTAACTGTATTTAAAAATAAGGCCCTCTTTCATTAAGCGTCTGTCATCTGCCCTCGGTCTCACACTTTTCATGGGATGGAACGTTTCAGCCTTTGGTCAAGAACTGCGGCGGCAGCCAGTGGCTGTCAACGTGAGTCACCCGTTGCGGGATCCCAGGACTTCAGGGAAGCCCCAGGCGCACGGAGGGTACAGTGGAAATGCGAGCAACCAGAAATCAGGTGTCCCAGGAAACAGATTGGCAAGGCGGGCGCTCAGACTCCCGGGGCCCGGCGGAGGGGAGTGGTCACGTCGAGACCGGAAAACTTTCCGCAAAGCGGCCAGTTGAATCCGCCACTGAGGCCCGGGTGCGGAGCAGGACAGCCCCTAGTCCCACGACTCGACCCTTCCCGACTTCTTACCGTCCTGCAGAAGCTCCCGGACTGTAGCTGCAGCCGCCCGAGAGCCCAGAGCCCCATGGCCAGCCACAGCGGCGACGCCGTCGTCAGCTTCCATGTTGTCAGGTACCTGGGTGATGACGTCAGAGGCGGGCCTGCCCCCTCAAGTGGTGACGCAAAATTCCGGCGCCACCCGCTCCGCCTGTCCCAAGGCTACCGGCTTGCGGGTGAGGGGGCTTAATAGACCGCAGCTGGACGTATCTTGGCCGGGAGCCGGGTGGCAGCTAGAGCAGGCGGGTGCCGTGGGCCCAGCGCAGCCGGGAAGCCGAAGCCCTCGGGCGGGCCGAAAGCGCCTTCTCTCCCCGGGCCGCTGGGACTGGTGCCGTTCCCGCGCTGCTGAGGAGGTGGGCGCAGGAGCGTGGCCGCAGCGCTTATCGCTAAAGCAAGTATTTAACCTAAGAACCGGGGCCTCTTGGAGGCAGAGCGGTGGTTTGTGGGAACTTTGCTTGCGTTCCATAGGCACAGCTGGCGGGAGTTAGTAGTTACCCAGCTTTCTCTGTCCCACGCCTTGATTCTCAGTCCAGGGGTAAAGGCAGGCGGGCAAAGCTTGGGAAGGAAAGCGGCCAGGGGTGAATAGTGAGAATTAGGGAGCCGAGAGCCGGTGAGGAAGGAAGACTGAACCAGGAATGAACGAGTAGACTCAGTCTCTGTCCTCTGTCCCCTGCTTTTCTACTTCCTCTCAGTTTCAGCCATGTGCTATGAGTGATGCCAGACTTTTCCATATTACAAACTGATGGGCTTTCCATATCTCAACTAACAGCATTGAAGCTGTAAAATCTGGTTCTCGTCATCCTCTCCGCTGCTTCATCTGCATTCATTCACCTAGATTTCTTCCAAGATAAATGCTGATAAATTAACAGATCAATCATGTATGTAAGAAAGTTAATTTAAGCATTTCTTCATAAAAAGAAACTAATACAACTTTTCCTTTACGTACACACAGGGACACACCCCACCCCCACCCCACCCCATTCAGAGCTAGGTGGATCTCTTGATTCTGCCAGGAGTATTTCAAGAAGATGCAATAATAGTAGTTACCCTGTGCTAAACTCTTTTATACGTACTTTGTAAATCTCAATGCATTTAATACTTATAACGGCTCAGGTGCTCTTTTTAAAAATATATATATATATGCTTTTATTGATTTTAGAGGGGAAGGGAGGCGTAAAAAGAAACAGTGATTGGCTGCCTCCTGCTCGCCCCCTACTGGGGGAACCCGAAACCCAGGCACCTGCCCAGACCTGAATCCAACCTGGGACATCTGGGTGCATGGGACTAGCGCAACCAACTGAGCTGCGCCGCCAGAGCATGCTTTCTCTGTCTCAGGTTTTTCCTAATATAATTTGTTTGATCTCAATCAGGGTGTGAATAGGCTTGATGGTTCTGAATGGAAGTCACAGGAATTGTCAAGGGCAGTGTGCTCAGACTCAGGTGTCATCTGTAATTCACAAAATTTTAAGTAATTCTTCAATAAGAATTATCTTTGAAATATGAAATTTGTTTTTCTTTGCTTGGTTTTTACAATGGAAGATTTTAGAAAAGTTGCATAATATTTATTCATTCAATGAAGAGTTTTGAGCCCCTACTATACATACTAACATGAATTTACAAACATAAGATTCAATCCATATCTTATCCCAAAGGAGCTAATAGGTAAGGTAAAGACCCATCTAAATATGCAATTGTACCACCGTACTTTGGAGTGTATGAATTTTTTAAAATATATTTTCATTTATTTCAGAGAGGAAGGAAGAGGGAGAAAGACATAGAAACATCAGTGATGAGAGTCATTGATCAGCTGCCTCCTGCACGCCCACCCTCAGCTGGGGATTGAGCCCACATCCCAGGTATGTGCCCTGACTGGAAATCAAACCTCTATCTCCTGGATCATAGGTCGATGCTCAACTGCTGAGCCTCACCAGCCGGGCTGGAGTGTATGAATTTATTTTCTCCCACACTTCGTTGCACATTGAAATCACCTGGAGAGCTTTAAAAATCACTGGTGCCAGCATCCTATGCCCAAAGACTCACATTTAATTGGTCTGAGATATGGTTCGGGTATCCTAGTTCTTTTTTTTTTTCTTTAATCCTTACCCAAGGATAGGGTTATTGATATTTTGTTCTGTTTTGTTTTGTTTTGTTTTGTTTTTAAGAGAGAGAAAGGGAGAGAGAGAGAGAGAGAAACACCTGTGTGAGAGAGAAACATCAATCTCAGAATCCAACCACAGCCTTTCAGTATAGGGGACAGTCTTCCAACCAACTGAGCTACACTGGCCAGGGCTGTGCTGCAAGAATTTTAAAAACATGCACTACCTGACTATTTAGTCTGGGGCAGTGACCTCTTTTCCCTTAGACTGTCAAATGAAAAAATGACAGCCGTCAACACAATAGCCGTCAGGTATGAATGAATCAAAATTATACCTGCTCTGGCCCGGTAGCTAAGTTGGTTACAGCATTATTCCAATATGTCAAGGTTATGAATTCTATCTCTGGTCAAGGCACATACAAGAATTAACCTATGAATTCATAAATAAGTGGAACATCAAATCAATGTTTCTTTCTCTCTAAAGTCAATAAATAATTTTTTTTAAAAGTCAGCCTAGGCATGGCTCAGCAGTTGAGCGTCAACCTAGGATCCAGGAGATCACGGTTCGATTCCCCATCAGGGCACATGCCCGGATTGTGGATTCGATCCCCAGTTGAGGGCTTGCAGGAGGCAGCCAATCAGTGATTGCTCTCTCATCATTGATGTTTCAACTCTCTCTCCCCCTCTCACTTCCTCTTTCTGAAATCATAAAGATATATTTAAAAAATAATAAGTCACAAAAGTCAACTTAAAAAAATTATACCTATTTTTTGTCTGATCGGCAAAAAATATATATTTTTTGGTGTGCCACAGAATTTTAGTAATTAGTTTATGTGTGCCATGAGATGAAAAAGGTTGAAAATCACTGCCCTACATTATAAAATCTAAAAAATCTTAACTTGGTATGTAAAGCCCATTACTATTTAGACCCTCTAACCCTCTAGTTCAGTTAGAACTCAAGCAACACTAAATTACTAATGGTTCACTGAAAACATCAAGCACTTTTAAGCATCTAGTTTTATATGTGTTGTCTGTAGCTAGACACTCCCCCCATCTCCCATGTAATGTCAGCTGAAGCTTTCCTTCCTCCATTGTTGATTCCTCCCACTTCTCTAGACAGTTATTTCCACAACAGTTAAATTGTATGTGTGTGTGTGTATCTGTGTGTGTGTGTTGGAGCTATTGTTTTGTGTACGTCTAATATGTTTTTAAGGACATAGGAAATGTATTTTCATGTGTATTTCCAACATGCAGGAGGAACTTAATATTTGTTGAATGAATAATACACGTCCATTCCTTCAAAAACTCATGAAGAGATAGATATGTTATTATACTATAGAAAAGTAATTGCGAATGCACATAACAGAGGAATGGGTATAGTGGGTAAATAAGATCAACTCTATCTGGGATTCAGAAAAGGCTGTCAGGATGGGGGATTATGAGTATGTACAAAGACTGGGGGCAATGAAGATGTGCTCAAGATTTAATTAAAGCTACCACTTGGTTGACACTCTTGTGGGAGATAGAGAAGTAGAGGGAACCCTAGGTTTCCAACTAGAGTGAGCAGGGGTGGGAGGTGATGGCATAACCAGGATATGAAATGCAAGACAGAAGTAATAGGTTTGACTCATGAAAAGAACTACTGTTTTTTTACTTATACTTGTATATGTGGCTTTCATCATTCTAACGATTTTTTATTATAAAAAAGATAAGATGCTAATAACTTTGTCCAAATTTTCATTAAGTCAGGCTAATTTAACAGTGGTTAGTAAAACTTGTTTTTCATATTCCTACTGTACATTCTACTTAAGGAAGTTGAAGTAATTGGTTTATATTTAGGCTATATTAGTACTTTCAGGATTAGCCAAATAAAAAATTGCATGTTGAGCAAATCAGCCTTTCTAAAGTTGGCCGATATCTGTTTCTAAGTTACCAAGGCCAAAAATTAAAATATGGAAAGCAGCTAACAGTATGAAATTATAGGATTTTAAGTATAGCAACTATAAAATACTATGAACTACCTAATTTAATCACTTGTACCTCTTTGGGTATAAAAGTGATTTACTATGCAATTATATATTTATAATTGAAATTTTCACTAGATAATACCACATTAAAAGTTTTTAAAAAATAATAAAGGTTGGTGAGGGTTTTTTTTTGCCTTTTAATTCAGGTACAAAGAATAGGATTTGAGAATAAGAATAAATATTAACATACCAGTCTATCTTTTGAAATGCTAACTACTACTTAAAGTTGTTCAATTAATGCCATTTAACTTTCCTAGATAAAACTTTCAAAGTGCCAGTCATATGCTGATGATAAATGAAATGATTCCAATCAAATTTCCTGGTTTGTCATTGCCAAAAATTAAAATGAAAAAATAACATGAAAAATTATAACATGGTATACTATGAAAAAAAATCTTGTAGTTTTCAACATCTTGATCATTTATTAATTTGAGCAGAAAATGTTACTATAATGAGTTAAATATAGAATTTGAAACTGTTAGTGTTTTACATGAACAAGCATAATCTGTACAGAACATAAACATCATAATTTCCCAATGTGCTAAAACTATGACTTATAAATAGAGGCAGAATTTTGTAATATCCTATTTGATACTGTGAAAAGAATCTAAAAAGATTTCTGAGCCCACAAGCCTCATGAAAAATGTACGTTCTTGCCAATTGAAATTGTCAGAATGATAGGAATTCATCTAATGAAAGTAAGTTTTCTCTATGTAAACTGGTGTTTTTTTTCAGTTTTGAAACAAATCTGTGTTCATGAAGAATGACTGCATACAAACCACAATATGTCAAGAAAGAAAAAAAGATCCAATAGAAATGTTTCATTCTGGGCAGCTGGTAAAAGTCTCTGCCCCAATGGTTCGATATTCAAAGTAAGTATTGTTAAATGGTGATTTCCTTTTTATGTTCTGACTTTTTAAAAGCAAGACCACCTCACCACATAGTATCTTCAAACACTTAGCTTTTGGATCATGATCAAGGCTTGAGTCCTGGCGTTACCACTTGCCTATTGTGTGTGGCCCTGAGTAAACAATTAACCTTTTCAAGCTCTAACTGGCCAGTGTGGTCCAGTTGGTTGAGCATCCTCCTATGCACCAAGAGGTTGATGATTCGGTTACCGGTCAGGCCACAAGCCTGGGTTTTGGGCTCAATCCCAGTAGGGGGTGGCGTGCAGGAGTCAGCCTATTGCTGTTTCTCTCTCATCCATGTTTCTCTCTTTGTCCCTTCCTTTCTCTCTAAAAATCAATAAAAACGTATTTTTAAACAATGGTAGTGTTTATAATTCCCACCTATAAAGATATAATGGATATTAAATAAATATAAACATTTATGCACAGGTATTTGTGTGAACACAAGTATTTATCTAAGACAGATCCTTGGGACTGCAGTTGCTGGGTCATATGGTAGTTATATGTTTAGATTTTTAAGAAACTGCCAAGCTTTTCTAGAGTGGCTGTACTGTTTGATGATCTTACCAGCAATGTATGAGGGATCTGTTTTCTCCTCCTCCTCCTCACCAACTTTTCATTATGTCCTGTTTTATATTTTAGCCATTCTCATAGGTTTACAGTGATATCTCATTCTGATTTTGATTAAACTGAAACTCTATACCCATTAAACAATAAATCCCATATTCCCTGTTCCCCCTAGCTTCTGGCAACCACCGTTCTTTCTCCCTTTATGAATTTGACTCGTCTATATACTTCATTTAAGTAGAATCGTACCAAATTTGTCTTCTTGAGACTAGCTTATTTCCACAATATCCTCAAGGTTTATCCATTTTGTAGCATGTATCAGAATTTCCTTTTTAAGGCTGAATGATGTTTCATTGTACAGTAGTACCTTGGTTTTCTAATGTAATCCATTCCAGAAGACCATTCGAGTTCTGAAACGTTCGAAAACCGAGGGATCAACAGCCGACAGGTAGGCCTCAGGATCTTGCACTCAGAGGAAGCCATGTGGCATGTTTGACTTCCCAGGTGTGTTCGAAAACCGAAGCATTTACTTCTGGGTTTACAGTGTTCATAAACCAAAATGTTCGACAATGGAAACATTTGAAAACCGAGGTACTGCTCGGTTATAAATGTATATACCACATTTTGCTCATTCATTTATTAACTGATGAACACTTGAGTTGCTGCCATCTTTTGGCTAATGCTCTTATCAACATGGATGTGTAAATATCTCTTTGAGACCCTGCATTCAGTTCTTTTGGGTATATGCCCAGAAGTAGAATTACTGGATTATATGACAATTCTAGTTTTAGTCTTTTGAGGAAACTCCATACTGTTTTCCATAGTGGCTATACCATTTGCAGTGCACAAGAATTCTGATTTCTCAACATCCTCACCAACACTTGTTTTTGTTCTGTTTTTTAGAATAGTTTGTTGAGTTTTAGAGGGAGAGAGAGAAACATCGATGTGAGAGTGCAACATCTATCACTGCCTCCTGCACACCCACTACTGGGGATAGAGCCAAAAATCCTGGCATGTGCCCTTCACCGGGAATCAAACTAGCAACCTCCTGGTGCAGGGGAGGACACCCAACAACTGAGCCACACTGGCCAGGCTTTTGTTTTTTATTATAGCCATCATAATGGATATGAAGTGGTATCTCACTGTGGTTTTGATTTGTATTTTGCTAGCAATGTTGAGCATCTTTTCATGTGCTTTTCACCGTTTGTATATCTTCTCTGGAGAAATGTCTATTCAAGTTCTTTCCTGTTTTTTGAATCAGGTTGTTTGTTCTTCTGTTGCTGAGTTTTTGTTTACTATTGAGTTTTGAGAGTTCTCTATATATTTTCAATACTAGTCTTGTCATATTAGTGGTTTGCAAATATTTTCTCCCAGTATGTAGCTTATCTTTTCATCCTCTTAACGAACTGTCCTTTGCAGAGCAAAAGATTTTTCTTTAGTGATTAAGTCTAATTTATCAATGTTTTCTTTTGTAAATTGTGCTTTTGGTGTGAAGTGTAAGAAATTTATGTGTAGCTGTAGATTCTAAAGATTTTCTCCTATTTTTTCTCTAAAAGTCTTACAGTTTTATGTTTTACATTTAAGTCCACAATCAATTTTGAGTTATTTTTTGTAAGTGTGAGGCTTAGGGGTTTTTTTGTTTTGTTTTGTTTTGTTTTTTTGCCTATGGATATCTAATTACTTCAGCTCCATTTATTAAAAAGGCTGTTTTCCACTATTGAATTGCTTTGGCATTTTTGTCAAAAATTAGTTGGGAGTGTTTGTAAGGCTCTTTATCTGGATTCTTTATTCTGTTCCATTAATCTATGTGTCTATTCCTCCATCAATACCACAGTCTTGATTACTACAGCTAGCTATATAATAAATCTTGAAATCAGGTAGACTGTCTTCCTCCTATTTTATTTTTATTTTCCAAAATTGTTTTAGCTATTCTAGTTCATTTGCTGTTCTAAATAAATTTGATAATGATCTTGTCTGTTTATACAAAATAACTTGCTGAATTTTCTTAAGAATTGTATTAAATATTCATATCAACTTGGAGAGAATTGAGTTCCTTACTATGTTGAGTCACCTAACTCCTGAACACAGTATGTCAAGATTTATACCTTATTTGATTTCTTTCATCACTGTTGTATAGTTTTCAGCATGTAAGTTCTGTATGTCTTCTTAGATTTACACCCAATTATTTCTCTCTTTTTTGAGTGATTGTAAGAAGTAGTATACTTTTAATTTCAGTGTCCATGTGTTAATTTCCTGTATATAGATATAAAATTGATTTTCGTATGCTAATCTTGTATCCTGCAACTTGAACTCACTTTTTGGTTCTAGGAGGGATTTTTGGTAAATTCCTTGGGATTATCTATGACAATCATGTCATCTGCAAATAGGGACAGTTTTCTTTCTTCCTATCATATGCCTTTTTGTTCATGCCTTATTATACTGACTAGAAGTTCCAGCACTGTGTTGAAGAAGAATGATGAAAGCAGACATCTTTGCCTTGTTCTTAATCTAGGGGGAAACTGGTCTGTCTTTTACCTGTTAGTATAATGTCAGCTGTAGGACTTTTTGTGGGTGCTCTTTGTCAAGTTGAGAAAGATCCCCTCTATTCCTGTTTTTCTGAGTGTTTTTATCATGAATATTATTTTGTCAAATGCTTTCTCTTCATTGATTGATATAATCATGATTTTTTTCTTTAGTCTATTAATATGGTGGATTACATTGATTCTGAGTATTCAACCTTCTGTTTTAACTGTTGTTTTCCTAACACCACTACAGCAGGGGAAAGATGAGGTACCACCTCATTATGATCAGGTGGAAGTAGGGGTCCAGGTTCCCCACTTGGTCTCCTTTGACACTCTGAGGGCAAGGGGCTCCTCCTTACTGCTGAGCAAGGATGAGAGTTCCAGCTCCACATGGAGCGAGTGGCCTGGTAACTACTGGACAATGATGACAGTCCTGGTTCTTTTCTAAGCATGCTCTGATACTACTCCCAGTGGGGAGGGAGGAGGGTGCCTCACTACTCCTGAGTAGGTGTGGAAGTCCAGACTCTCCATGAGGGCTCCACTGATACCACTGAGGGGTGCCTTGTTACTTGCCAGCAAGGATTAAGTCCCAGCTACCTACCTGGCTTTTTCTGATACTACCTTGGAGGGGTAGTGGAGAACCTTGATATAGCCTTGGAAAAGTAGAAATCTAGGCTCCCCATTCAACCTTTGTGGCACTGGAACCACAGGGTTTTTTCTGTGTTTGGCTGGAGTGGGGTGCTGTTATTTAGTTTTCTGTCTTGCTAGGCTGTCCCTTTCCTGGCTGTTTGGTTAGGGAGAGCAGACTTTTGTTGAGGCTGTTTTGTTTGTACCCGTTGGTATTTCCAGTTTGCCAGCTTCACCAGCTCCAAGTCTGGGATATTTAAGGCAAAAAGAAAACCCAGAGAACTCACCATTGTCATTCCTCAGGTCCTGAGGTCAGAAGCATGTCTGCTCTCCTCTCTCCACCTTTCAGAGTTTTCTTATGTTTTCTTTACATATAACATCCAGGATTTTTAGTTATACTAAGCAGACGTACAGAGGAAAGAACATGTCCTCCATCTTCCCATAGACAGAACTTTCCTCTAATAAATATTTAATAATTAACTAAATTAAACTTGGAAGTACATATGATTTGGTGATTTCTAAATGCCTAATTAAAGTTTTATCCCTTTACAGGTTGGCTTTTAGAACACTAGTAAGAAAATACAGTTGTGATCTGTGCTATACACCAATGATAGTTGCTGCTGATTTTGTCAGATCTGTAAAAGCCAGAGACAGCGAATTTACCACAAACCAAGGTATGTGGAATTCAGAGTTTGTTGACTTGGTAAAACTTAAAAAGAAAAAACAAACTCAACTCTCTTGCCTAATCAGAGACAACACAACTCAGAGATTTTATTTTAAAATCTTTTAGTTTTTTATTTAAAAAAAAAAATCTTTATTGATTGCAGAGAGAGGAAAGGAGGGGGAGAGAGAGAGAGACAGAAACATCAATGATGAGAGAGTCATTGATCGGCCACCTAGCCCGCAACCTGGGCATGTGCCCTGACCGGGAATCGAACTCCAATCTCCTGGATCCTAGGTCAATGCTCAACTGCTGAGCCACGCCTGGCCGGGCTTAATTTGTCTTTTTAAAACATGTTTTTACTGAGTGTCTTCAAACTGGATTGTATACAAAGTATAAGGTTAGCCTTCCTTAGGGCCCCCTATTCTCTCACCTGGACTATTAGATTAGATTCCTATTTTACTGCCCCCAGTCTTGTCCCATTCCAGGCTATCCTCCAAACAGCCCAAAGTGACTTTTCTAAAATGTAAATTTGATCACATCTCTTAGACTTCTCATTGCCTAAAGCAGTGATTCTCAAAGTGTGATTCCCTAGACCAGCAGGATCAGTAGCATCTGGAAACTTGTTAGAACTGAAAATTCGCAACCTCCATTCCAGGCCTACTGAATCAGAAACTGGGTATGTGGTCCAGCCTTCTATTTTTAAAAGCCCTTCAGATGATTCTAAGCTTGCTAAAGATTGAGAACCACTGGCCTAAAGAGTAAAATTCAAGCACCTGTGAATAATACGTAACATTCTTTATGATCTAGCCTCTAAATACATCTGCAGCTTTATCTTCCATTAGTTTCTCTCCATAGCACACTGACTTTATTACTCACAAATACTAAGTTATTTTAAGGCCTGAATATGCTTTATTCTCTCACACTTCTCTACCTAGAATATCCTTCTCAGCCATGCCTAACCCCTATATCCCTATTTCTCTGGCAAACAACAGATTATGCTTCTTTTGTGGACAAGGTACTTTCCTAATCACCCTCCACTCATGTTGTCCTTAATCCTGTTATAATTTCCTCTTTGAATACCTGTCTCCTACTAGATTATGTGCACCCTGAGACCTGGAACTATTTACCAATTTTCATCCTCAGCTTCTAGTACTGTTGAAAATATATTACACCCATATGTAAATTTTAAACTGAAATTCTATAACTCTTTTGAGTTACAAATGGGAAAGCACCCTACATCCTCAGGAAAAGGCAAATTTTCCGATCCCATGATAATACTGTAAATCAGTGGAACTAGGGTAATACCCAGAAATCTGCATTTTTGGAAACATCCAGTAAATCTCACACTTTTTGAGATAGTCCTCAAAAAGTCTTTAGAAAAATTAAAATACATGTATGTATAACACTAACCCAAAGATGAAAAAAATTGTCCTTTAAAACCTAGGAAAGTTCTGATACATTTGGCTGTATATGTAAGAAAAGGGCACAAATATACTCAAAAACAAACTAAAACTGGGAAAATATAATGGTTTTGATATTTATGATAGAGCTAATTTCATTGTTTTGTAAAAAATTAATAATATTAACCAAAGAACTTATATGCATATATGCATAACCCATGGACACAGACAATAGTGTGGTGAAGGCCTGGGGGATGGCAGGTGTGGGATGGAGGAGTCAAAAAGAGAAGGATATCTGTAATACTTTCAACAAGAAAGATATATTTTAAAAATTAAGTAATAATAAAAAAGGAATAACTAAAAAAAAAAATTAGGCATTAAAAAATGTACAAAGAATATGGAGAGCCCAGAAAGAAAAACATACGCTATTGGATATACAACATGGTAAGTTGCGAGAAAACAAGAACTTTAATCCATATTGGTATATATCTATGTTGGTAAATTATTTTGAAAGAAATTTTTGTAATATCTGTCAAATGTTAGATGCTTATCCAGCAGTTACACACCTAGGAATTTACCCTGTGTATATACTCACAAAAGCATGTGAGAGTATCCTCATCACATGTTTGCAGGAGCCACAACTGAAAAACAATCTAGAAGTACACTGTGTGGTCCATCTATATATAGTGGAATATGCCACTGAAAAGAAGAAAAAAAGTCTTGAGTACAGCTCCCAAATACATCAGGTTAAAAAAAAAAAAGCAGTACACATAGCAATGTACACAGAATGTTCACATTTGTTTAAAATTTATAGGTACATGTAAAATTGTTCTGGAATACAATAACTCTCACCTTTGGAAAGGGGTCTGTTTGTAAACAGTGTTGTACTTTTCATTTTACTAAGTCTTATACTGTTGAATTTGTAGTAAATGTAAGTTGCTTTTTATTTAAAATGTTTAAAATTATTTTAATGATAACTTGTTTAAACAGATGCATCTTGGGCTAAAAATAGTTATTTCATATTGTATGAACATTAGAGTTTGGTATCTCCTGTGTGTGTGTGTTTCTGTGAATTTTAATGAGCTATTCATTTTATCAGGTGATTGCCCATTGATTGTTCAGTTTGCTGCTAATGATGCAAGACTTTTATCTGATGCTGCTCGTATAGTCTGTCCTTATGCGAATGGAATAGACATTAACTGTGGTTGCCCTCAGAGGTAAAGCTCAAAGAAGTTGGAAGAATTTTCAAAAAGATTAGAAAAAAACTATGTGAACATGGTAAACTATCTTCCTAGTTTTCCAAGAATTAAAAAGTAAGGAAAATACAGTTAAAACACTTGGGCTCTAAATAAGAACAACAAATAAGCAAAGGTTATTTAGAAACGTACATGCAAAGGTATTTTCTGATGGCTAAAATAACGCATAGACCTTTGACAGGTGTTTTGTCTTACCTCACCACTAGTATTTTTTATGTGTGGATCTGCCTTGAACCTCATCCATAAATAGTTATGTGAGATACTAATGTTTATAGCAATTTCTAAAATGTATTTTCACTGCCATGTCAGGCATACTTGCTCTAGAAACTATAATTCCGTGATTTGGGAGCTCACCACTTATTTTCTCCTAATTAATTTTCTTTGTAAGAATACCTTCTTATAATTACCTTTTTTTTCCCTATACCACAGTTATTTGGTTCATTCTAAATAACTGTGTATTGATAGGATGTACTTAATTTGACAATGGTATCCCTATGTTTCTGACATTATACTAAATTATCTGACAATAATTCAAAATGTGTCCAAATAATAAAATCAAGGTTTTAAATACAGTGTAATCCAAATCCGATTAGACATATTTGTATACTCATTAGGAGAGTTAAATAAGCTGTTTAGTGGTGTTGGAATGCTATAAGCCAAACTTACCTCTCTACTATTAAGACTAATAAAACCTCTTGTTATGTATAATAAACATCAAATTTGGAATTTAAAAAATCTGAAATAATTGCAAGTAATTACAAGTACTTAAATCCATTTTGGTTCAATGAATGTTAATTCAATTTCCTCACTTCCCAATGAAAACCATTTTCCCCTAAGTACTTCTTGATCTGGGAACCTATTTTCCTAATCTTAAATTGATCCACTGAGAAATGTTGGGTCTATGGATTGTAAAAATCTGATTCCAGTCCAGATTGCTAGATAGATAAATTGTTGATGCACTTATAGTGCCTTCAGAAATGTATCTTCTTTTTCAACTATTTATAGTTTATTTGTTGTTGTGTTTGCTTTATAAAGGTGGGCAATGGCTGACGGTTATGGAGCTTGCTTAATAAACAAGCCAGAGCTTGTTCAAGATATGGTGAAACAAGTAAGAAATCAAGTGGAAAATCCCAGATTTTCAGTGTCTATTAAAATAAGGTAAAGACAGTATTTTAATCTATTGACAGATAGTTCTTTACTTAGGAAATAAAAGAATATTCCTTCTGTCTAGGGCTGCAAGGGCACCCTTATTTTATAGCTGGTGTATGGAAATATTGAAATGATATTTAGTAAAAGTATATATACCATAATTTTTATTTATAATCCAGAAAAACTTCCTCTTTATATTGTTTAACAGAAATTAAAACATCCCTTTATTATTAAAAACTCTCCCCGAAGCTGGGCCGGAATGGAATGGCTCAGTGGTTGAGTGGGGGACCCATGAACCAGGAGATCTTAGTTCCATTCCTGGTCAAGGGTCACATGCCGGGGGTTTCGGGCTCAATCCCCAATAGGGGGGATGTGCAGGAAGCAGCCAATCAATGACTCTCATCATTGATGTTTCTTTCTCTCCCTCTCCCTTATCTCTGAAATGGAAAAAATATATATATATTTAAAAACTTTCCCCAGCCCTGGCCGATGTTGCTCGGTGGTTAGAGCATCAGCCTGCACACCAAAGGGTTGTGGGTTTGATTTCCAGTCAAAGGCACGTACCTGGGTTGCGAGTTCAATCCCCAGCCCCATTGGGGCTCATGCAGGAGGCAACCAATCATTGTTTCTCTCACATCGATGTTTCTATCTCTCTTTCTTTCCCTCCCTCCCTTCCACACACACTCTAAAAAACAATGGAAAAAAAATATCCTTGGGTGAGGATTTAAATACATAAATAAATAAAATAATAATACTTTCCCCAAAAAGAAACCCTTAACTTTCTCTATGTACTACTTAATTAATGCTAAGATACATTCCTGGTACCAAGAATAGAAAATAGGAGTGGTACTTGCACTAAAATTGCACAATGAAAAGAAAATAAACCAGGAATCAGTTTTTTGATGACAGGTTAAAAACATATTTCAAGATAAGGTGTATTCTCCCAGTTGGGGAATGGGCATACACAGCAAATATTGGGATTGCATCTCTCAATTCATGTGTGACAGTATTTGGATAACTTTTTCAGTTACAAAAGCCAAAGGGAAGGAGCACTAGATAAGATAAAACTTGTCATCCTATTGTTGCCAATAGTGAAATAGCTACATTTAAAATCTTAAATTGGAACTGATCCCTGAGCAAAAAAACACCTTACTGATAGTGGCATGTAGTGATGATATAGCAAAACTAACTAATGTTTTATATGAAATATTATTTTGTTTAGTTTATTAATTTTAGCTTTGAAATGTGTGCTTTAAAAAGATGAATATAATTTTGAAATTATAGGATCCATGATGACCTTACAAGAACTGTAGATCTTTGTCGAAAGGCTGAAGCAACAGGAGTTTCTTGGATTACAGTCCATGGAAGAACTGTTGACGAAAGACATCAGCCAGTTCACTATGAAGCCATTAAAATAATTAAGGAAAATATGTCTATCCCTGTTATTGCGAATGGAGACATCAGAAGCTTAAAAGAGGCAGAAAATGTGTGGCATATTACAGGGACAGATGGTAAGAAATAAGTACTTGCACTGTTGTCTTTTAACTAGCAAAAAAAGTGGGGGTAGGAGAATAATGTTAATGTTTTCATTAGTTTCTTTAAATTGGAACTATATTTTTCTTTTGTGTTGGTTTAAGCTAAGCAATTTATTAAAATGATATTAGCTGTTCTACTTAGAAACAATAAATTAGTTGAGGTAAACTCATTTATTTTACTGCCACCATCATCCGGTGAAAGACTAGTTAAGAATCTTTCAGATAGCCTATTAGTAAAATAGAACACCTAGACTAGAATAGAGAGTGAGTAAACACAAGAGTAGTCATAGGAACCAAAAGAACCCCAGACTGCTGTGCAGTTCCATCATCCCCTTAAGTTACTGGCATACCAAGCCCTGCGATACCTATTGCTCAGTGGGAGAATGCAGATAAAACTTAACTTAAAGCAAGCTCAATTTATGACAATTTGGATTTACCCTTAACAGAAGGCCTAAAGATTGTTTAATGTAGAAGTCTTAATAAAATGAAGAATACCTGTAACTACCTTTAAGCTTTCTGGGTTTATAAAAAGATCTATAGCCTGGCTGGCGTGGCTCAGTAGTTGAGTATTGACCTATGAGCCAGGAGGTCAAGGTTCAATTCCCGGGCAGCCACATGCCCAGGTTTCAGGCTTGATCCCCAGTAGGGGGCCTGCAGGAGGCAGCTGATCAATGATTCCCTTTCATCATTGATGTTTCTTTCTCTCCCTCTCCCTTCCTCTCTCTGAAATAAAAACATTTTAAAAATAAAATAAAAAGAACTATAAAAATAAATTGTATTATAATTGAATTAAACAGACTAATATAAAAGCATTGTGAAACCTTATAATAATACTTTATTTTTTAATATTCTCAGTTTGAGTGTGACCTTGTAACTATGAGTTCTTAATGTGTGGATAAATGTGGTATGCTTTAATTTGTAGGTGTGATGGTTGCAAGAGGACTCTTAACAAACCCAGCGATGTTTGCTGGATATGAGGAAACCCCCCTGAAATGTATCTGGGATTGGGTTGACCTTGCTCTTGAACTTGGAACTCCTTATATGTGTTTCCATCAACATTTAATGTACATGATGGAAAAGATAACATCAAGGCAAGAAAAAAGAGTATTTAATGCTTTGTCAAGCACATCAGCAGTCTTAGATTACCTTAAAGACCACTATGGGATTTGACTGGACTTCGTAAGTTGTTTTAATATGTACTTTAAAGGAACTGTTTTTAGCATTTTTAAATAAATAAAACTTTTTAATAATAAAATTATGACTCATAGTATCGGTTAGTTAGCATGAAGTATGTTTTTAATGAAAAAAGTGCAGAGAAGTGACGGAACAAATGCCAACTTCTGTAAAATGAAAACAAGTAAGACATTCTGTATAGAATCACATTCTGGGCTTAGATTAAAAGTTCAAATTGGAAAATCAAACTGGTACTTCCTAATTCATGAATTACACATCTCAAGGTATTTGTTTTAAATAGTATATAGCTGAATTTAATTAGATGGGTTTTCTATAATTTAAAACTAAGTTTTCATGAAACTTTTAAAATGACATTTGCCAAAAGAATTTAGATTATCAAATTAAAAACTGACAACAGCCAACAACAATAGTCGTTTGGTGTAAATGAGTCAAAATTATACCTTTTTTTTTTGGTCAGGTCGGCAAAAAGTGTATTTTTTCGTGTGCCGCAGAATTGTGCCATGAGATGAAAAAGGCTGAAAATCACTATTCTAGATCTTTAGAAGATTGAGAATTGGTAAATATACCTAAAATAATAAAATTAATTTCACTCCCCCACATTTTAAGTATAAAAAATTTGGTAGCTAATATGAGGATGATTATATATTTGAAATATTATTTCCTGAAGAACAGTAACCAGGTTTTATTTTTATTTTAAGAACCTAATTTTCGTACCCTGTTTTTAGTGATGTAATTTTTATGCCTCCCAGCAGTTGATAATAATTTTAACTTTAAATTTCCATGTTTTGGGAATGTTGCCAATAGAATTTTGTACTGGTGGATGTGCCACTGCAAGAATATCTCAAGTTAAAATAAAACATAATCAAGGTATTAGTCTATGTTACCAACATGAAAACTTATAAAAGGAGACAGTTCTCTAAAACTGCTTAATTTGAGACTTCTGGTCAAGATGGCAGGCAGCGTACATAAATGCAGTATTTGCTTCCTCCCACAACCACATCAAAATTACAACTAAACTACCATCATTCAGAACTGCCTGAAATCTAGCTGAACGGAAGTCCTACAACTATGAAATTAAAGGAGAAGCCACATCGAGACTGGTAGGAGAGGTGGAGATGCAGAATGGGCTGGTCCACATGCATGTGTTGTGGATGAAAAATCAGATCTTGGCCGCAGAGGTCTCCCCTGAGGAGCAGGGGGTCCCAGCCCCACACTCGGCCTCCCAACCCCCCATCAGGCTCCCCAGCCCAGGGTTCCAGTGCCAGGAAGAGAAGTCCCCAAAACTTCTGGCTGTAAAAACCAGTGAGGATTAAATCTGAGGGACACAGAGACTGCTGGAGTCCCAGTTTCTCTTTAAGGGCCTGCGCATGGACTTACCTGGACTCCCTTCCTCTGAGCTCCAGCACTGGGACAGCAGCTTAAAAGGCACCAGAGACATATGGGGAGAAACTGAATTGTCCAGCATCAGGGCAAGAACTGGGGGGACAGCTTTCTCCCAGGTAAAAATGCTGGCAGAGTCCATTGTTCCTTTGATGAGCCCCCTACCCCAGCCAACAGGTGGGTGCCATATCTGAGTCTCCATCAACCTGGTTCACACTGTTTGCCCCCACGCTGGTGATTCCCTGAGGCCCACCCCACCCAACTTTCTAGCCACCCAAGCTGTTTCCAGTGGCTTTTCCATATGAATGGCCAGTCTTGGCTCATGCTTCAGATTTTCCTAAAATCTCTCAAACACGCATCATCTGGCCTCAGTGAGCCCCTTATCTCTCATTAAGTGGCCCCAGGGCTGGCACTAGCAGCAGTCGGCCTCAATTCTCAGCTTGGCCTCACCTGGTCACCTCCAAGAAAATTGCTTTGTATCTCATGATGGATGACCCCAGGCAAAACACAGGCAGTGGCTGACCTTGGCCTGCCCCTCCCATGGATGCCCCAGAGCCAGAGCACCTAGTAGACAGCTTCAGACCATGTCAAAGCACCACCACCCAATTACCTCACAAGCAACACATTCAAGGGGCCAACTCAGCAGGCACCAGAGCCCTGCTGAAGTAAGCCCTGTTCTGTGGGGTGGGCCCCTGCACAGCTGATCCTCCATGGTGGGCAAAGGTCAGTGATCAGTGGTTGCAGCCAGTCCTTGCAGCTGATCAACCTGGGGGTAAATCCCTCCCATTGACATGCCAACAGCAATCAATGCTCAACTACAAGAAAAGGGTATATACACAGCACATATGGGGGGGGGGGCACACCTTGAGTGATAGCAGAGGCTGTGTGCCACTACACACTACAGGACACCTACTACATTATGCCACTCTACCAAGCCTGGGAGATGTAGCAGCTCTACCTAATACATAGAAACAAACAGGGACAAAATGAGACAAGAAAACATCCCAAATGAAAGAACAGAAAAATACTCCAGAAAAAGAACTAGAAATGGAGACAATCTACTAGATGCAGAATTCAAAACACTGGTTATAAGGATGCTCAATGAACTTAGTGAGAACCTCAACAGCATAAAAAAGAACCAGTTAGAAAGGAAGGATAGACTAACTTAAAGAATAATTTACAAGGAATCAACAATAGAGCAGATGAAGCCAAGAATCAAATCAGCGATTTGGAATATAAGGAAGCAAAAAACACCCAACCAGAACAGCAAAAAGAAAAAAAGAATCCAAAAAAATGAAGATAGTGTAAGGAGCCTCTGTGACAACTTCAGGCATACTAACATTCACATCATGGGGATGCTGGAAGGAGAAGAGCAAGAAATTGAAAACCTAGTAGAAAAAATGACAGAAAACTTCCCTTACCTTGTGAAGGAAATAAACATACAAGTCCATGAAGCAGAGTCCCAATAAGGTGAATCCAAAGAGGCCCACACCAAGACACATCATAATTAAAATGCAAAAGGTTATAAGACAGAATCTTAAAAGCAGCAAGAGAAAAGCAGTTACGTTACCTACAAGGGAGCTCCCATAAGGTTGTCAACAGAAACTTTGCAGGCCAAAGTAATGAAAAGTAATGAAAAGCAAGGCTCACAACCAAGATTACACAGCAAAGGTATCATTTAGAATTGAAGATCAGATAAAGAGCTTCACAGACAAGAAAAAGCTAAAGGAGTTTACCACCACCAAACGAGTATTACATGAAATTTTAAAGGGTCTTCTTTAAGAAGAAGAAAAAATACAGGGTATCCCAAAAAACTGTATACACACTTTAACAGCTGATAGCTCTATTTTGAAAATGAAATGTATTTTAATAAACACTGCCTTTATAATTAGTCAAAGCATGTGTATACATTTTTGGGACACTATATATTATTCATATATATGAGTAATAAAATGGCAATAAATACATATCAACAATTGAATCTAAAAAGCAGAACAGAAACCGATTCAAAGTTACAGAGAACATTTTGGCGGTTGCTAGATGGGAGGGGGTGGGGGCATTGGTTACAAAGATAAAGGGATCCACAAGTACAAATTGGTTGTTACAGCAGTCATGGGGATGTAAAGTACAGCATAGGGAGTATAGTCAATAATAGTCTAATAACTATGTATAGTGTCAGATGAGTGTGAGATGTATCTGCATGACGACTTAGTAAGTTATGTAATGTCTCATCGCTGGGGTGTTCCCTGGAAACATGTCAACTGTAACTGAAAATTTTAAAATGATAAAAATAAATATATAAAATTTAAAATAGAAGTATAATGTAAAAGAACTGCTTAATTCAGGAGTTTTGGAATATTAAATGAATCAATTTCAACATAAGCAACTGCGTTGCCATATTTTTTTCATAGGCACATTCTTCTTTCTTTTTTTCAGTTACTGTATTTTTAAAGATAACTGGCTTTTTCATTTGATAGGAGTAGTGTACAGGCCAGCAGGGAGCCATCAGCAAAACTTAGACATCTTTATTTTTGTAAGTGAACTCTGAGGTGAATTATACTAGTGTTGTGACAACAGAATAACAATTAGGTGCACAGCCTTTCAAAGGGACCAGTGTGGAAGGGTGGAGTTCTAAACCCACTTGATTAAAAAACAAACAAAATCTTCCTTATGGTTAATTCATGTTGTCTTTTTCTTTTATATATGATCAAGTATATTTGTGTCAAGAAAAAGCACCGACTTAAGTGTTTTTATATTGTAATTATTCCATTTTTATCATTTAATGTTTCCAAAATAATTGTTTCCAGGAAGACACATTCATTTCCATTCCTGATATTGTCAATGTTGAAAATATATGTACTTAATAATTTGAGTGTATTCACACAATTTGAAAACCTGGGAAATGATAACAGGAAGAAAATACACATACCTACATTGTTTCCCTTTCCCATCAGTCGCCAAACATCAACCTAAAGTTGATTGCCTCATCCCAGCCCACTGACAAGAGCTGAAAAACACAGTATGTTTTGACTCTACTATTCTACAGTCTCAGAACAAAATGCTGCACTACTACCAAATCCTTACCCTTCTAGTTATAGCTTATTTCTGGACAGTGAAACCAGTTCTATCATAAAACAGAACCGGAATAGAAAAGGAGTGGGTTTCTAACACGTTCAGGACATTTGCACCACCCAATCTAATCCTCAAGCCCCGGGGCCCTCCCTTCTCCGAGGCCCCACGAAGCTCATCAGAAAACGTGGATTAAGGGCCCCTCCCGGCCAAACCACACAGTATTACAAATTTCAAGTCGGTTTTCCTGAAGAAGTTGCATTTGGGAGCCCGAAGCATCGCGAAAAGTCTGCGTCATCCTCTAATTCCATCAACAATTAGAAAACAATTACAGCTAACCGTCGCATTCCCGCCGCCTGCGACGGCCGGTGGGACCTGCACGGGGACGTGAGAGCGGCCGGGCTGCGGGCGGGGCTGGGGCACGCTTCCCCCTCC